ATGATATATTCAGTCTACAAAGAAATCAGTATTTGTCATTAATGCAAAACTGAAACTCAAGTATTTTATGTATAATAGTAATAGAATAGTGACAAATTACAAGTTGTTATATACTTTTATTAAAACACATTTGATACAGTGATTTCAGTGGCTCATATCAGAATATTATTTGGCATTGCTGTGAGACAAATGACTATGGTTACAAATATATGTATGTATATATCCATAGAAAGAATATCTAAAATCAACAATAAACTCATCTGAAGAATTAAAACAATAGTTAAACACAAACATGAGATAGAAAAATATTAATCTAGTGCAATGTTTTTCTTTATTTTATTCATTTATTTTGAGAGAAGGTCTTGCTTTGTTGCCCTGGGTAGAGTAAATTTTCGGCCTCAAGTGATCCTCTTGACTCAGCCTCCCAATACCTGGGGCAATAGGCACCCACTACCTAGCCCAGCTATTTTTAGAAACAAAGTCTGACTCTTGCTCACACTGGTTCCTATTCTGAGCTCAGGATATCCAACAGCCTCAGCCTTCCTGAGTGCTAGGATTACAGGCAGGAGCCACCGAGCCCAGCCCAGCAATATTTCTTTAGTTTAATGATTGAAATGACCTAAAAGTAAAAAATTATTTTACTCTATACTTATTAATGTTTGGTGCAACGGCTTGTTGATTATAGTACACAATTATGTGATAATTCACTGTTCTTCTCTCATTTTCCTCACAATAATAATCTTGTTTCCCAACTACATCTTCTGGTTTAATTTATCCACAAACTTCATTCTTTTAATTACTTACACTAACAATTGACTCATCTGCTTCATCTCTTTATATTACTCATGTAAGTCCTACAGTCAAAGTGAAAATAAGGAAAATTGTATTTTCTCTACATTTTTAACAACACAGTTAATATTTTCTTAAAGTTTTTGAAAGCATAAATGACAGTAACATTTCATTTAAACTTCCCAAATAATCTATTGGTGTTCTAGAATATTCCAGTTCATGACATTGGGCTCCTTCAAGCACTAAGCTGCTAAAAACACATACCTAGCTCCCAACCACACCTCTCCACTAGTAAGGCAAAAATAAATAAATAAATAAATAAAATAAAAAAACATTGGTAGAACCACAACTTACTGACATATTCTTTAAATCTTATGAATTATGGCAACCATTATCAGTTCTCTGAAATCATGGTTTTGTCTTATTTACCACACTCTATAATCTCATTTAAATGAGATTTGTCCTCATAGACCAAAAAAGAAAAAAAAAATCTTTTAAAGCATATTATGTTACAATATTTTTATACCAGCAACATTTAAGTTATGATAAGTCTTTTCATACCCACGGGTCATTTGAGAGTATGAAACATTCTATTTTATGCCATCAAGCTTATATCTTTCCATAATATAATGTTTTTGAATGTCAGACTAATCACAGCAATATATTAATGATTTACACACCTAAGAGAAATCTAGTATCTGTTGTTTCCCCCAAATAAATATGACTTTATTGCTGTTTGGTTTCAAACAAATAACTCTACTTACAAAATTTGGATATTGTTGCAGTCTTTATGTAAAAAGTTTACTTTGTTTTAATTTTTAAAGTTTAAAGAAATACATATTGAAATAAATTTTAATTAACCCAAACTATTGTTGTATTTAAGGACCTTCTATAATAATACATAGCAGAAGGAAATTTCATTCTGGAATATTTCAATGCAATGAATACTAAATATTCATGTTTAGTTTTCAAAGACAACATTAAGAAGTTATAATTTTTTTCTAGTTCCATATACATTTGTTTTTTTTTCCTTTTTTTTCCATTTAAAAAAATTTCAAATTAATATGCGGGTACACATTTTAAAATTACATTGTTCTCACTTCCAGGGCAAATTTTCAGTTGTAAAACAACCACTTAAGGGAGAAGAGATTCGATTCTGAGTCTCCTACTCCCGGGTTCTACGTGGAGAAGCCGAGTACTGCTCCAGGTTGACAATGTGGCCACAACTACTCTGTCTTTGTCTCTTCACAAAAATCTAAACTTTTTAATAAAAGCCTTTCTCACAGTAATAAAGTGTTCTCCTGCTTTGGTTTTAATTTGCATCCCCTGATGATTAGTGATACTGAGAATTTTCTCATACGTTTTTTGGCCATCTGTATCTTCCTTTGAAAAGTTTCTGTTCATATAGTTTGCCCATTTTTTGAGAGGGTTATTTGACGTTTCTTAATGGTTTTTTTTTTTTTTTTAGACTTTCAGTCCCTTTAATTAGATGTTCTGAGGAGAAGACAGAATGACAGGCAGGGGTGGGGAAGGTGGTGCTTCTTGAGTCCCACTCAGCAACTGGTCAGTTCTCGTCCTCCGGCAGCTGAATCTTGCTGGGGTCGAAACAGTTGGATTCCATGAGAGGGAGGCCATTGGCCTCTCGGTATTTCACAAGCCTTTCAGCTTCCCGGCGGGCCCACTCCTGCATCCCATAGTCAGGCAGATAGGCCACGAAGGTGCCGCCAAGGACCATGACAATGGAGAAGCCAAGGAAGAAGACAACCCGCATGTTCCAGACATCTATAACAGGGTCCTTGTCAAAACCGTGGGAGTCGGGGTTCGTCCCATAGAGGTTTTCCTCCTCGGGTTCTGGGTCCTCCTGCCAGTGTATGGTCGGTTCCGGCGGCCGCTTTCCCGCCACAGTGGACGGGGTGACTACAGCCCTGGAGGAACCAGAGTCCCAGCGAACATGGGCAGCCAGGAGCCCTCGCGTCGCCACTGCCACCAAAAGGCGGCGAGCGGACAAACCTAATAGCCCAGACGCCATTACAGATTGTACTGCAGGGTCTCGGAGCGGAGACGGAAATGCGATTGTGCGCAGACGCAGTTAGCCCGCAGCGCGATAATTGTTGCACCGCCCCATCACACTAAATAGGTCCCTAGTCTGATTTGGTTTTCAAATGAGGTGGGGCGTTCAGGAGTCCTCTCACTCCCGTTGTCATGGCCTCGCGGGACCAATCATTCCCCTGTCCTCTCCATCAAGCTGAGAAATCTCTTATTGATAGGTCTCCTCATTTCCTTGACAGAAAGAAATTGGTGGCATTTGGGTGGGCACAATTCCCAGCCAACTGCTCAGTGATTTCCCTTGCCCTTTGAGGAAAGAAGTGTTTCTTAATGGTTTACCTGAGTTCTATGTAGGTTCTGTTTATTAGCCCTTTATCAGACATTTAGCTTGTAAATACTTTCTACCATTCTGTAGATTGTCTCTTGGCTCTGTTGATTATTTCCTTGGCTGTGCAGAGCTTCTTAATTTAATCAAGTCTCATTCATTTATTTTTAACCTAGCACTTTTTAAGAAGTTTAAATAGCTTACCCCAAATATAGCTAATCACATTATAAATTAAGTGACACAGAGATTTTAAATTGTACATGTCTGGAAAGTGAATGTGTATAATTGGTGTTTTAAGCCCAATCTACAGAGAATTCCAATTATGTGCTGCTTTTTTCATTCCCTCATTAAGAGAGTACAAAACATCAATAATGAACACTAAAATAAACTATTCTAAGAGAATGGAGATTTTGCAAATATTGAAATGTTATCCAAAATTACATGCCCTTAAATATTCCTAGAAACTTGATGAGATGGAAGAAAACTTCTCTAGAGGTTCTCTTTCAAGTTGGAATGCAGTAACATCTGAAATTTTTTAACAGTGAATCATTGTGCTCAAAACTGTCAGAGAATTGACACAGCATCTATAACTTAGTATGAATGCAGCATTAAAATGTTTCTTTTTACCTATACATAAGTATAATTATTAACAGTTGATAGTTACACAGTAATAATTATTTGTTCAAATAACATAATAAATACATTTTTATAACAAATTTTATATCATAAATAATGTGTCTTTAATTATTCCTTGAAATTCTCTGAAATAAAACTTAAGTTTTTATAATGTTTTCTTTAAAATAAGATACTCTTTATTTATATAGATATATATACTATATACATTTTTACCAAACAGGCTTGAAATATGTACACATTTTATATATTTCTTTGCATATTTATACACATGCTATAACTAAATGCCATTTTTGCACTTAAAAAATGAAATTTGGGCTAAATTAGCAATGTCAAGATTATTTTGCCTAAATTATATCACTAGGTAAAATAATTCTTTAGTAAGTAATTCCAAAAGATATTTTCTACCTAAATAATTGAATTATACTTGCTATTTCTTTGTTTTCGTAAGGTAATATAGACTTTAAACAATATTTGAAATTAAATTATCATATGAACACTTCCACTTAATATTTTTTAATATCTGTTAAAGAAAGGAAAGTACTGGGAAGGGTGTGTCCTGAACTGAGAATCTTGTGGCCAGTGACAGATATGCCAGCTGAGCATAGATAGAATGGGACTGGCCTCACTATTTTGGTCTGCTGCCAATGCTCAGAGACCTGCTAGGTCAAGGTAGCAGAAGCCAGGCAAACTCCACTTCCACCTGGTAAGCTGTGGGGCCCAGACTTTCCTTCTCTCACAACACAGGCGCCTTGGCATGGCCCTCCCGCACCTCCCTGGAAACATTGCCCCAAGAACCTGAGCAGGTCCCCCTGTAGGGGACAGCACTTGTATCAACACTTGACTATCCTGAACGCAAGGGTGTCTGTACCATCTCCACCCCCTTTCCAGCTTTGTCCTCCCCTGCCTGCCGAGGTGACAAAATGTGAGACAGGAAGCACTGGAATTTTACAGCTGTACACATCACCTGGGACCTGCCCATCATTTTCCTGATGCACAAAGGCCAAGCATAAATGCCATGACCTCCACAGCAGCTTCCTCGCTCCTGCAAATGCCACCTACTATCTGCGACATCAGTCAGCCCCTTTAAAACTTCTCCTGACACAACTAAATGCTGCTGGGGTAGGAGACAAGCTTTCCACTGAGAACCCACCATCACAATTCCCCACAGCATCCCAGCTACTCAGGAGGCCCTGACCTTGCTCAGCTCCATGGTAGATTATTACTACAGCTGTCCTTTGGGAACACCACCACACAGAGGCCATTTATAACTGAGGAAATCATACAGCATTTATGCTATTCCCCAAGGTGCCTAATATAAATAAACCTGAGGGAATCTCTGCTCAGTCCAGCACTGTCCAAATGAAATCCCTTCTGGGACTGAGAGTTGAGCTCAGGACACTATGCACCCCTCAAACTAGCCCACTGCCTGAGACACTGATGAGCTTTTCTGTGAACACAGATCAAGCATAGAACTACTGGGTGCACTGTGGCTAATTTTAACTGCAAGCATCTCCTACTGGACTGGAGGCTACACTACACTCTCCAGTACAAAACCTGCTAGCACAAGGACCCAACACTGGGGAACAAGATAAGCTTCCTGAGACCTCAGCCATCCTGGCTGAGAACTACTAAGAACATCTATAAATCCGTCAAGAAAAACTCCTAAAGGAAATGGAAACTCCCTGTAAACATATGACCTCCCAAGATTGAACCAGGAAGAAACATATATCCTGAACAGATCAGGAATGCATAGTGAGATTAAATCAGTAAAAAACAAGAAATCCCAGGACCAGAAGGATTACAGCTGAATTCTATCAAACATAGAAAGAAGAAATGGTACCAATCTTTACTGAAACTGAACCAAGAAACTGAAGAAAAAGGAATCCTCTCTAACTCATTCTACATAGAAGTATCACCCATATACCAAGGACAGGCAAAAAGGCAGCATCAACAAAAAATAGAACAATATTCCTGATGAAAATAAATGAAAAAAATTCACAACAAAACAATGATAAAACAAATTAAACAGCATATAAAAAGTTAATCCACCATGATCAAAGGAATTCAATCCCCAAAGATAGTTTAACATCCAAATCTACAAATATTACTCATCATGTAAACAGAATTAAAAACAAAAACAACAGTGATCAGTACAAGAGATATAGAAAAAAAACTGAAAAAATTTAGCACTCTTAACTATAAAAACTGACAACTAAGCATAAAAGGAACATACCTCAAAATAGTAAAATCAAATAGTTGATCTTATACCTAGAACAACAGAAATAATCCTTTAAAAGACACCTAGATTTGATAAGTGAATTAGTGAAATATCACAAATGCAAAATCAATATGCTAAACCAGTAGCATTTGTATACTCCAATAACAAACAAGCAGAGAACCAAATCATAAACTGAATCCCAATATTTTCCAATAGCTACAAAAAGAAATGCCTCAGACTATTTTTCACCAAAGAGATGCAATGCCTCTACTAGGAAAACTACATAACACTGATGAAAGATCATCAGATGGTGCAAACAAATGGAAAAGAAGAAGAATCATTAAAGAATCTAATGATCTAAGAATCATTAGATGGTGCAAACAAATGGAAAAACATTCATACTTATAAACTGAAGAAGCAATATTGTGAAAATGACTATATTGCTCAAAGCCATCTATAGATTCAATGCACTTCTTTTCAAAATATCAGTATTATTATTTAAAGAATTAGAAAAACGACTCTAAAATCTACATGGGACCAAAAATAAACCAAAATAGCCCAAGAAATCCTAGAGAAAAAGAATAAACTGGAGGCATCAAATTACCTGAGTTCAAATTATGCTGCAAGCTTACAGTAACAAAGACATCCTGGTACTGGCATTAAAACAGATACATACATCTTTGGAACAGAATAGAGAATCCAGAAATAAAGTCATATGTCTACCACCAACTGATCTTTGGCAATGTAGACAAAACAAAACAGGAGGCAAAGGAAATTGGATTTACTAAAGAATTCTGGGAAAATTAGAAAACCATATAAAGAAGAATAAAACTAGACTGATACCTTTCACCATAGACAAAAGTTAACTCAGTATAGATTAAGGGCTTAAACTATGGTCTAAAACTATGAAAACTATAGAATAAAACCAACTAATAAGTCTTCTGAACATTGATAAAGGAAAGAATTTATGAAAAAAACCCTCAAAAGTAAATTCAATAAAAATAAAAACTGACAAATATGGGAATTGAGTAAATTAAAATGTCTCTGGATAATAAATAAATAATCAACGGAGTATATAGGCAACCTACAGAATTGGTGATAATAATTGAGAACAAAGCATATTAAATGAAGACTGATTTCCAGAATCTGGAAGGAACTCAATATGACACTGACAATAATTCCAACAAAAAGGAGATGAAAGATGGGAACACACATTTTTTAAAAGAAGACATACAAATTGGTAACAGGTATGAAAAAAATGCTTTCCATAACTAATCATCAGAGAGAAGTGAATAAAGCCACAGCCAGTTGGGATTTCACGCAGTGAGAATGGCCCTTATTAAAAAGTCTGATAATAATAGCTGCTGATGTGTATGTGCAGAAAAGAGTACACTTATTCGGTGTGGTGGTAACCTAAGTTAGAGCAATCTTTAGGGAAGCAGGTTTTCAAAGAAGTATTGACAAAAATGAGTACACACAGACATGGAAAGTGAAATAACAGATACTGAAGATCTAGTAGCAAAGAAAGCTGAGGGAATGGAGAGGTTCATGGAATGAGAAATTACCTAATGTCTATTATGTGTGAGAATTGAGTGAGGAGTATACAAGAATCCAAGACCTCACCATTAAGCAATAGATCCATGTAATAAATCTGTACATGTATCCTCTTAATGTATAAAGTTAAAAAAAGAAAAAAGAAAAAGAAACTGGTATATATGCAGAGACAAAAAATGACAACTCTGTTGCTTTGGGAGACTTTGTATAAAAGTTAGGGAGAACATGGCAGAAAAAAGTTTCAATGTTTAGAAGAAAATAGAATAGTGGAATATACAACTGGCATATGAAGTTTTGGAAGAATTGTTTCCCATAACATCAGGAGAGAAGTTATGCTGAACCTTGTGACATATATGAATATGAGATAAAAATACATACTTCCCCGGCAGCATGATATCCTCCACAGAGAAATTAACATACATCCAGGTCAGCACCATAGAAACTTCTAGGGCCTCAAACAACAGCAATCACTAAATGTGATTATGAGACATTAGATTTTCACAGTTCAGGGCACATAAAAATCCTACCGAAATACTATCCTGGACAGTATCAAAATGAAACACTAGCGTTT